CCGTATCACTGCCACCTGGCCCGGCATGTGTGTCATTGTATGTGATTCTCGTTAAAAGATGGTACTTGTTGTTACCCTGTCTGGCGCTCGGCATTAAGGGGCTAAAACAAGGACTGGTCGGCTCGGAGTCAGTATACTGTGTCTGAGTGGGGTATTCATGTTAAACTGCGGCATGGTATCTCAGTGTGCTAGCACTATAATCCGGCATCAGTCCGGACTAGTACAAGCTGCAACACACACACGTGCATGTACGTCGCTATATAAGTGGAATAATCTTGGACGCGACGTTAAACCCAATTTTACCTCACCTGTATGCGATTCTGCAGTTAGTTGAGCCTTTTACGGACGCTTCGACGACCTTTCATAAACCACTTGTCTCAGGTGCACGTGTCTTCTGATTTATCTGACCTCTTTGTCTTTTGCCTTTCAGGAATCTATCAAGTATGTTTTGACAACACACAGAGTCGATTCGGCTCTAAATTAGTATTTTTCTATCTTGTGACGTTTGTCATGGAACAATGGTCCAAGTACGTCATGGAAGTGACGGAGATACAAGGACTTGCATCCAATTTTTCGGTATGTACGGTAAAGGTACCCGACTTCCAATATCCCAACCCTGATACCACGACTTTTAACTTGATGGCACTTATGTAAAATTTATCCGACCTGGTTCAATTCTGTTGCAGTGGGATTTATTTCAGCCCAAATCTGTTTTCTTTTTAGATTCGATAACGACATTGAAATAATTCATGAATTAATGCAATTAGAGTTTTATGCAAATCCATTCATGATATACAAATGTAATATATTATGGCTTCTTAGTGAATTCCCCGTGATGATCCGGGTTAGAATTGGTCTTCATCAACCCATGCTTGTCGAAAAAGGCGACTAACGGGATCGGGTGGTCAGTCTCGATGCATGTCATCTTATCCCAATTGCGTGGATCGATGCTCATGATGTCAATGACTGGATTGTCTGGACCAGAATCGATTATTTAAAGATCGCCGTCATTTAGCTGGAATATTGCTGAGTGCGGCGTTAAACAACAAACAAACAAGACCACATACAATATACATCTGTTATATGATATATGTGTATCTGAGTGAGTGAGTGAGTGAGTATGGTTTTACGCCGCTTTTAGCAATATTCCAGCAATATCACGGCGGGGGACACCAGAAATGGGCTTCACACAATGTACCCATGTCGGGAATCGAACCCGGGTCTTCGGCGTTACGAGCGAACGCTTTAACCACTAGGCTACCCGACCGCCCCTAATTTATGATATATATATATGATATACGTGTATCTGATATACCCAGGCCTCGCTGTCGGATGTGGAGATCTCCCTGAATGAGGTCAAGAAGCACCAGATGTCGAGCCGGCTCAACGTCATCCGAGACTGGTACCTCATCATGGGCAACAACCGCTACGTCGGCTACTGGTCCGTGGCGCAGTGTGCTGTCGTCGTTGTTGCTGCAGCGTGTCAAGTTTACTTTCTCAGACGCCTCTTTACAGTTCCCGTCGTCACATCCTCATCTAAACCTCGTGCCTAAATAAATCATGCTTTTTTTATATATAAAAATTGAGAAATAGTTGGTTGGTTTCCTTATTGCTTCAGAAAGATCTTTGAAACATTCGTCACCACTCGCCCTTTTCCGTAACCTTCAAGAAGCGGCTTGTGCCGGAAGGAATGCATTCGTCACCACTCGCCCCTTTCCGTAACCTGCCGAGAAGACTCGTCCCCTATCGATGAATGTTATGTGAGATAATACCACAAACCAATCAGACTGCGCGTTTGACTTCCAGTACTTCGGTCAAAGAATCCATCAGTAATTAGTTTTTACTTACCATATGCCTTGAATTAAAAATATATCCAACATACAGTTAAGTGTGTTCAAACATGCTGTATAATACCGTAGGTCACGATGTGTTTTAAATAGCATCTGGGAAATATATATATGTGGGGAAGATATAGGTGAATCATTACGCAAGGAGTTGACAATTCTTTTCGCTATGCTCGTTTGCGCTCAGACGGAACCCAGTTGTAAACAAATGCCACGAGAGGGGCACGAGTCGCTATTCGGCTTGTCCCGGAATTACACGAGTTGGTCACGAATGGGAAGGAGTGGTCACGAATGCTGTTTTTTCTCGAACTGACACGATTGGTATCGAACACGTGTCTTTTCGGGACAGTTCAAGTGGCATTCGTTACCAACTCGTGTCATTTCGAGACAAGCAGTATTGCGGCTCCGTATGAATTATGTAAAGGCGCGAAAAGCAAAAGTCTCCATTCATCTTATTCCTGACCAGACAATCCAGTGATTGACATGAGCATTGATCCATGCAATCAACCAAGTCACCGGGCCTGACCACCCGTTACATTTAGTCGGCTGACCCGTGAAGATCCGGGGTAGAATAGGTCTACAGCAACCTATGCTTGTCGTAAGAGGCGACGAACGGGATCGGGTGGTCGGGCTCGCTGACTCGGTTGATGCATGTCATCGTATCCCAATGGAATGGCTAGATGCTCATGGTGTCAGTCGCTGGATTGTCTGGTCCAGATTCGATTATTTACAGACCGCTGTCATATAGCTGGATTACTGTGCGGCGTTAAACAACAAATAAACAAACAAAAACTGCTGAAACGTTGGTACAAGATTATGTATGTTCCTGCAGGTGGTGAGGGCAGGGGTGGCCCAGTCGTCTGAGGCGCCGCTATTCGCTGTGCAGAGTTGCGGCCCTTGGGCACGCCAGAAACCTATGATTGTGGGTTAGCCCCGATTATGTTTCTAGGTTTGTCAGCACCATACCCGTGCTCGTGTGTTTCACCGAAGTGGTAAACGTCTGACACCTACATCACTTCAGGCTTTCCTCCCACATTAAGCTGACACGCCGTGATATAACTGGAATACTGTTAAAAGCGGCGTTAACCCAACTCACTCACTCACTCCTCCGGGTGGTCGCAAGTACTGAGTCAGTTCAGAGGATACAAAGAAAGAGAGGACGATCTTGTATGGGTAGCGACTACTATTGTCATGGAACAATTACAGACAATGCCTTTAGATAATCGATTTTGGTGTCTGTATTTCAATATGAGTATGACACTCTCGTCAGCAAATTATTACATGATACGAATTTTAAGAATTGCTATTTTACACAGAAAGTGAGATGGAATATTATTAAGAGTGATATGCATGCACGCTTGTGTACGGCTGCTGTATTGTCCGCTCTGTGCCGGTTTTATAGTACTAGCGAACTAATATGCCATGACGCTGTTTAACACGGATAACCCACTCAAACACAGTATATTGTCTCGGGCTGACAAGTCCTTGAATGTCCCTTTAAGCCGAGCGCCAGGCAGGGTAACAACAAGTGCCATCTTTTAACGCCTTTTGGTATGACGCGGCCGGGGGGTCGGAGCACCGACATTGAGTTCTATCCACCAGACTATAGAGGTGGTCTTATTACAAAATCACAATAAGTGGTGCTTCACTTTTTTCCATATGTATATATTGTTAAGATGCCTGCAACCTCCTTAAAATCAGATCTAAGTACGATGTGTAACGGTAGCGAGCACTGTGATCTGATTTAAATGAGCTTGAGATGTCTGTCAAAGATTTACCGTTTTCGTTACCAGTGGAATCAGCAATGGTGCATCTTTGACAAATAAAAGATCTTATTAATCAAATTCATGTAGTTTTACGCCGCAGTCATCAATAGTCCATCAAAATCAAGGTGGTCTGTAAATATTGAATCTTGGTCCGGCAATCCAGTGGAGCCAGAGTACGAGTAAAGATTAATACCGTCGCCACACAAACAACGAGCAGACACATAACAACCACTCATTTTAGTCTGCTTTTACAACCAATGCAGACCGAAGACCTTTCTGAATCCGAATGCCCACATGGTTAAATTGATGTATTGTAGAAATACTATAATAATAATGAGTCCATTTGTATGGCGCCAAACTCCATACCAGCTCGTATGCTCGTGGCATACATTATTAACCCAGTCAATGGATCAGTGAGCACTGGACTCTCATTCTCAGCTCCCTTGGGGAGTATACAACCCAAGCTGGCTGTGAAGCGTTAAAAGGTTAACAGCCACATCTCATCCTTCCGGGTACCCACTTGCCACTTACCAAAGGAGACACCACATGTGGTACATGTGCTTCAGTGTGGAGCAGGACCGAAGCCCTAGAAACTCTCAGGAGTCAAGCTGCTGAACGCGGTCACCCCTCGTCTACTCTCCGAGACCGACGTTGCTTAACTTCACCTGATTAGTGATTAGTGATCTGTGGGCTGTGCACAGGACCACATGCCACCACTACTCCACATTTTATAGGGACATTTTTTTTTTTATCTTTCCACGATACACAAACATGATTCTCATTATGTGTCAAACTATATGACATATCAGATTATCCCTATGAGTGAGTGAGTTGGGTTTTACGCTGCTTTTAACAGTATTCCAGTTATATCACGGCGTGTCAGCTTAATGTGGGAGGAAGGCCCGAAGTGATGCAGGTCTCATACGTTTACCACTTCGGTGAAACCCACGAGCACGGGTATGATGCTGACAAACCTAGAAACATAATCGGGGGGAACCCACAATCATAGGTTTCTGGCGTGCCCAAGGGCCGCAACTCTGCACAGCGAATCGCGGCGCCTCAGATGACTGGGCCATCCGTGCCCCCACCATCTAACATACAGAATCTTGTACCAACGTTTCAGCAGTTTTTTTGTTTATTTGTTGTTTAACGCCGCACATTAATCCAGCTATATGACAGCGGTCTGTAAATAATCGAATCTGGACCAATCATAGGTTTCTGGTGTGCCAAAGGGACGCAACTCTGCACAGCGAATCGCGGCGCCTTAGACGACTGGGCCACCCGTGCCCCCTATCCCTATGAAACGTTGAGTAGAATTCAATACCTGCCATGAAATGCAAAGACATGTCATGGTTTGAACAAATTCCACCGACAAATATCAGGTGCGGTAGAGACAGTTTAATTCAGTCTTGACAGAGATAATACATTGAAACGAAAAGCACTTTATGTACACTTTATAAAAAATGTTGAACAGACATACAAGAATTCTTTCTATAATACGAAAGATTTGTTTCATTTCCACATGATGACAAGGGTCATCCAGAATGGCGCAGTGATGGTTTCGCTTTCATCTTGGTCTGAGAAAGAAGCCAACGAATCTATGGAGAACCTGAAACACAACATGCTTACATTATATTAACGTCCAGCCATGGCAGCGGTAGATGCAGCCTTAATTTTATCGACCACGTCTGCACGTAAAACATACATAATGTTCAAAAATAAGTTTGCTATAGTCGTCGAAAACGAGATGTCTTAGGCAGTACAAATGGGCCTGTAGTACAATCAACTTTAGAAAGTTTAATTATGAATTATGAAAGGCTAAAGGCAAGTGTTTCATTTTGTATGTGAAAATATTAACTTACCGAGGAAATTCGTTTCCGAAGAGATTTACTTTTCTGACACTTCACTCTAAGGGTTGTCGGTTCATCCGAGTGTTCATTGATATCCCCGGTGTCAGGTGTTGGGCGGCCAAACAGGCAGTACATAATATTTACAGGCTGCACACCAAGGTCACGGCCGTCTGTGGGGTCGCTGGTGTAGCAATGATCTTGTACTAAAATGAAATGATGATTAAACCTTAAAATTCACCTTAAACTTCTTTAATAGTATAACATTATTTCGATTTTTTTTTTTAATAAAAGAAAGAATAGCTATCTGTCTGTGTCTATTTGGGAAACTTTCAAAGTATTGGACATACCGTTTAACTTGAAGTCCGGATCTTCTATGCAATAGCGTGAGATCGGCCATGGAGGTACGATGTCAAATCGATCAACGTTCATGTCCTTGTTGTTAATTAAAGCCTCCGAGCTGACCTCCTGGATATTGGTGGTCATCAGACTCGCCAGCTGAACTTTATCAATCCATTCCTTCACCTTCTCTCTGCCTCCAACTCGCTCCACCTCAACAACAACTCTCTCCTTCCTCGAATCTTTATGTCTCCTGCTAAGATTCTTCCTTCCCAATTTTGACCTTCCAGTTTTGTCTGCGTCTTTCTCAAGAGCCAGTCTGTATACATCTCCCAGCTGCCACCTCTTTCCAGCATCTCTTATATTATTATCCTTCTTCGCTACTTTCGGTCCATTCTTTCCGGCTTCTATCACATCCATCCGTGTTTTCTCGGGACCATCCGCCATCGTACTCCTCTTTCTATCCTCCTTCACCATCCTTTCTTTCCTCTTTATGCTCTCTTCATATCTCCTCGCTCTCTCTATCTCCTTCCTGTATCTACTTCCTTTTGTCTTCTGCTCTCTTCCTTTCTTCATCAGTCTCGCAGACTCTCCGCTTCCGCCTCCAACTTTTCTTGACTTACAAAGTTTGGAATCATTCATCCATTCCGGCACTGGCTCAAAATCGTCAGGTGGTATATAGAATATACGTGGCATCCTTAAAAGAAGTCATGGTTAAAATAATAAGAGGACTAAAAGGAAAATGGGACATTCGTGCTTTCACATTCACATTTAATGGCATCTAAGTAAAATGAACGCTTTAAGTATAATGTAACTTGCTTTGTCCGTTATGTACATGTTAACTACAACTTGTAATGGCGCGGTTTAGTACATAGCCTTGTGGTTAATGCGTTCGCTCGTCACGCCGAAGACCCGGGTTCGATTCCCCACAAGTCCATTTTTGTTATGCATTAAATATTTCTAAAACCTTTACTCATTCACTTAGCAATAAAAAATGAAAACGTATTCTCTTGTGTGAATATTAGAAAATATTGATAAGAAATAAACACATATTAAGTACTTACTTTGCTGAAGATGGTGATACAGTATTCAATTTCAAACAAAACAGATAACTCGTGGATCTTGTCGTTTTATAGTCACAACTACTTTTCAATGTCTGCATAGATCTGCATGAACAGAACAATAGGCCCACTCACCTGGCAACCACATCCCATCATGCTTACATTGTGTTCTTGTGACGTCATTCGGATTGTGACGACAAAGACACTCTGACGTCATGAGCAAGACTAGGCTCGGCAATCTGCCAACAGAGGGCGCTGACAACACCAGTGACTTTTTTCCAGACTTGTGTTTGTGACGAAACATATAGAAGTAACGAAGGGGAGGTTGATTACTAGTGAGTGAGTGAGTGAGTGAGTGAGTGAGTATGGTTTTACGCCGCCTTTAGCAATATTCCAGCAATATCACCGCGGGGGACACCAGAAATGGGCTTCACACATTGTACCCATGTTGGGAATCGAACCCGGGTCTTCGGCGTGACGAGAGAACGCTTTAACCACTAGGCTACCCGACCGCCCTCTTGATTACTATGTTTATATATCCGGAATGAAATTTAAAACAAACAATATGTCCCAATTCCTTCTTATTGTTGTCAGTGTTATTATATTCGACACCAAACAATTGACAGAAAACAATTTTATTCTTTGATCTGGGGCGGTGGGGTAGCCTAGTGGCTAAAGCGTTCGCTCGTCACGCCGAAGACGATTTCTAACATTACAACGCGTGAAGCCCATTTCTGGTGTCCCCCGCCGTGATATTGCTGGAATATTGCTAAAAGCGGCGTAAAACCATACTCACTCACCCATATGCTTAGATCAGACGTAACAAACTGTATGTATTCAATATATTATAGGACAGAATGAAGGTACAAGAGCATAATATTTCATCATATATGACAGTAAATACAAATTAATGCAAGAAGAATGATTGATGGTGAATTAAGTTTAGTGATGAATACAAGAATGTCTCCATGTTCTGTCCGTGTTTGGACACTGCGTGCTAATAACATGGGCCTGTGATAGAAAACCTTTTAATATACGAAATGTTGAGAGGTCTCCATGAAAGCATAAAAAATAACTAGATGCATCGTACCAACTTCATTTTAAGTCGATTTTGAAAAACAAGTAATTCGCCGTTTTGTTACATTTTCGTTTCGTTTACAACAGACTCCGCAATTTCATACATTAAATGTCGCTTCCGGTTTTGGTCATCACCAAACAACACTACATGTGATTCTAAGTGATGCTACTGACATTATACTTTTGTGAATCTGATATATGATCAGACGGCTGCTCATTGCAGCTGACGCCTCAAAATTAACGAGGTATTATTTTCAAGTTTATTACCGATTTAAAATAAGACCGCTGTCATTAGACGAGTAGTGCTGTTTGACCGTGCAGTGGTGTTGACGATTCTCTGTTCAGACACAGTCGCTCTGTCGGACTCACTGTGTCTGTGGGATGAGATGGGGTTTCTGGATTCGATAACAGATTCACAGACACATCACAATCAAATATATAAATACAATATTAATATCTACCTTGAGTTTAAATGCTGGTTGTTATGTTGCAAGAAAACACCTGCAATGGTATCCGTCGTGTTTTTTGCAAACAGATACATTCAATTACAGAACCGAAGATTTCCTAAGTAGAATCTGTACTCAATACAAACATATTGTATCAAACATCGTTAGAAACTAACAGTTTTCGTCCATGAGTCCTTATAATGATAACATATAGCAAAACCCTTAAAAAGGGCAAATTTCAACTAGTCCTTATGATACCTTTACCATTGGGCAGTTTGACAAGGACTACAGGACTAGTGCCAATTTCTAATTAAAATTAGATTAAAAAAACATATTTAATATTTTCGTGGTGGAAAAACCCAGGAAAGTTCTTTTCATGCTGAATAGCCATTGTCGTCACTTCTGATTTTAATAAGGTGTGTTGTCAGTGAACTGGGCCATCATACTCTAAAGTGACAGGACGTCGACTGTTCTGAAGCACTGTTTTGTAAACAATAGCCGATAACCCCCGAGCTCACTGGGTTCTGCTTGCCTTATTTCGCGCGAGAATTTTCCAGTGACCACAACACGGATGTAGGCTTATCATGTGACCAGACATTTCTCTAACAAACTCACTTACTCTGAAATTGGAACAGACGGGCCTAATGCAAGCCTTTTGGTGGGCTTTACATATTGTTTTGCATAATTATATAGACATACTACCACAACCGTGACACTGAGGTGTATCACAGTATAGCTTTACACATCAAAGTGACCGTATCGCTAGCTCTCCATAGGGCTTTGATATCAACACATGGAGGACAAATACGCAAATGAAAATAATTTTTCACGTTTTAAAATGTTTTCGGAATGAGTAATGTTTTTCTAAATGTGTAGAATCGTACAAACTTAAACAGATGAAAAACACATGACTTCATAAGATGTGATAATACGATAGGTACAAGGCAGGCTGCAAGGAACTCTGGGTAGGAGAGTGATTGGCTTCATATAACCGAGGCACGTTTATATTGTAATCTTGGCTTTGATAAACACTGGCTTCTAATCTAATCAAGCTGATAATTATTTTTTTGTAACTCATCCGCTTGCTACAATTTGCCTCTAATAAAAAACATGACTGACGCCAGTGTGCCTTGTGCAGCGGCAGAGCTTGTGTTGTCAGCTTCACTGTGCGGAGCTCATTTGTTTTGGTTTGAGAATTGAATAGGTCATTATTTCATGCATGATTTAAGAATACACAGAACCAACGATGTACTGTCCTTTGGAAAACAAAAGAAGTTTTAGTTATTTCTGGGTAGATTTCTTGGCTCAAATCCTGACTCAGTTTACATGGTTTCACTCTCTTATCATTCTTATAGCTGTCGTCCAGAACACCAAAAAGGGTTACACTTAGACGATCATGATACAAAACCAACAATATTGTCATGTTTCTACTGAGAGCGGGGGCACGGTTAGCCCAGTCGTCTAAGGCGCCGCGATTCGCTGTGCAGAGTTGCGTCCCTTGAGCACGCCAGAAACCTATGATTGTGGGTTCGAATCCCGGTTCGCCCCGATTATGTTTCTAGGTTTGTCAGCACCATACCCGTGCTCGTGGGTTTCACCGAAGTGGTAAACGTCTGTGACCTGCATCACTCCGGGCTTTCCTCCCACATTAAGCTGACACGCTGATATAACTGGAATACTGTTAAAAGTGGCATTAAACCCAACTCACTCACTCATTCTCCTGAGAGGCAACTATACTTGTTGTAAGAAGCAACGAACGGGGAAGGGTGGTCAGACTCGCTGACTTGGTTGTTGCATGTCATTGTATCCCAAATGCTCATAATATCAATCACTGGATTGTCTGGTCCAGACTCAATTATTTACAGACCGACGTCAACAGCTGGAATATTGCTGTGTGCAGTGTTAAACAAAAACAAACAAACAAAGTATTGTTCAAATGTTCTTTACTGCTGATATTTTGTTTCAGATTCCTGTCGACTGCAGATATGTACGGCCGGGGTAGGGGGCAGAGAAGTGACTCCTGGGGAGGACGCTCAGGCAGAGGGGGGCGAAGTTATGGAGGCAGGAGGCACGACGATGATGGGGACAGGCATGGCAGGAGGGACCGAGGTCACCAGAGACATGGCGGCAGAGGCTGGAGGGATAGCAATGTGGATGGTAACCATGGTAATTTGTCAATACTGTAACAGCCCGACCGCCTCCGTGGTCTAGTGGTAGAGCTTCCGCCCAGAGAGTGGAAGGTCCGGGGTTCAATCCCTGGCCGCATCATACCAAAAGACGTTAAAAGATGGTACTTGTTGTTACCCTATCTAGCGCTCGGCATGAAGGGGCTAAAACAAGGACTGGTAGTACAAGCAGCCACACACACACACACACGTGCATGCACGCCGCTATATAAGTGCAATAATCTTGGATGCGACGTTAAACCCCATTTCACCTCACCTCACTGTAACAGCCCTCAAGGCTCGGTGACTTGGGTGAGTACGAGTCATTATATCCCAATGCCTTGGATCTTTGCTCTTAATATCAATCACCGGTTTGTCAGGTCCAGACTGGATTATTTACACCCGCTCATCATACTGATGGAATATTGCTGAGCGCAGCGTTGAACATCAAATGTAAGATAGCTACGTGATAAATTGCAAAGAACAATGAAGAATGAAGCCTGGTTTATATCACAGTAAAATTGTTCTGTCATGACGTCATTTCTGGAGATTCGAACATGTGCTAGCAATTTGATGATGTCGTAAAGTGGACAGCATTATTTTTGAGAGGGAAGTGTCTTGTGTCTAGTTGTTCCGCATAGATGTAGCTAGGCAACGCAGATAAAACGCAATGGCCAAACAATAGCATCATAAAGTGGGCGAGAAATGACTATCGGTATTGGGAGAAAAGGTACAGATAATCGCCAATTGACAATTGTGAGAATATCTGGGAAGTACCAAACTTAACTCCCCTGTTCATAAAATGGACTTGTCTGACATTGCCAAGATTGAATTGTATTCAGGGAGTCATCATTATTTAAATACGGGTAAATATTTTCAAATATTGTACAATTTGTTGATTTCTCATATATGAAATAAACTCATGCGCCCGTCATGGTTTATTCTCCATGTACTTTTTTATTGTACGATAAACATCTCCCACTCATCTTTTTTTTCTTTAATAAGCAAACTACAGCAGGATGAATCGCTTCAGGTTAATTAGTCCCAGACTATCTCTGAGTGTGTCAGGAAGATTTGGAATAATTTGAAAGAACTTACTCAGTTAACATATACCCTTGTGGGGAGACCTGTGAAGATTCCGGGGTAGAATTGGTCTTCAGCAACCCATGCTTGCCTTAAAAGGTGACCATGCTTGTCGTAAAAGGCGACTAACGGGATCGTGTGGTCAGGCTCGCTGACTTGGTTGCTACATGTCATCGATCCCAATTTCGTGGATCGATGCTCATGATGTCAATCACTGGATTGTCTGGTCCAGACTCGATTATTTACAGACCGCCGTCATATAGCTGGAATATTGCTGTGTGCGGTGTTAAACAACAAACCAACCAACCAATCTAAACGTAGTCCCTTGTGTTGAGCCGGGTTAGAATTGCTACTCTGCAACCTGTGCTGGTTGTAAGAGTCTACGTAATGGATCGGAGGGACAGATGACTTGGATGATGGTCATCATACCTCATTGGTGTGAGTCGTTGCTCACAATATCGACCACTGGTTTGTCTGGTCCAGGCTCAATTATTTACTGACTGTATGGTGCTGAGTGCCGCATTGAACAATAAAGATGCACAGTTAACATGTGACAAGTATGACGCTACATACCAATATTTCCCTGATGATGCTTATGACTGTACATACAGGCAGCAATGATGGTGATAGTCGTGGCGGCGGCAGTGGCGGCGGTGGTCGGCCCCCTCCTGGTCTTCGAGGTCGAGACATTGGAATGTGGTACGCAAGACGAAGCAAGGACAAGAAGGAGAAGCAGGACAGAGAACAGGTGGGTGGCGCTGGTGTCAGTAGTAGGTGGGTGGTGCTGGTGTCAGTAGCAGGTGGGTGGCGCTGGTGTCAGCGCAGGTGGGTGGTGCTAGTGTCAGTAGTAGGTGGGTGGTGCTAGTGACAGTAGTAGGTGGGTGGTGCTAGTGTCAGTAGTAGGTGGGTGGCGCTAGTGACAGTAGTAGGTGGGTGGTGCTAGTGTAAGTAGCAGGTGGGTGGTGCTAGTGTCAGTAGTAGGTGGGTGGTGCTAGTGTCAGTAGTAGGTGGGTGGTGCTAGTGTAAGTAGCAGGTGGGTGGTGCTGGTGTCAGTAGTAGGTGGGTGGTGCTAGTGTCAGTAGTAGGTGGGTGGTGCTAGTGTCAGTAGTAGGTGGGTGGCGCTGGTGTCAGTAGTAGGTGGGTGGTGCTAGTGACAGTAGTAGGTGGGTGGTGCTAGTGACAGTAGCAGGTGTGTGGTGCTAGTGTAAGTAGCAGGTGGGTGGTGCTGGTGACAGTAGTAGGTGTGTGGTGCTAGTGTCAGTAGTAGGTGGGTGGCGCTGGTGTCAGTAGTAGGTGGGTGGTGCTAGTGACAGTAGTAGGTGGGTGGTGCTAGTGACAGTAGCAGGTGTGTGGTGCTAGTGTAAGTAGCAGGTGGGTGGTGCTGGTGACAGTAGTAGGTGTGTGGTGCTAGTGTCAGTAGTAGGTGGGTGGCGCTGGTGTCAGTAGTAGGTGGGTGGTGCTAGTGACAGTAGCAGGTGGGTGGTGCTAGTGACAGTAGCAGGTGGGTGGTGCTAGTGACAGTAGCAGGTGGGTGGTGCTAGTGACAGTAGCAGGTGGGTGGTGCTAGTGACAGTAGCAGGTGGGTGGTGCTGGTGACAGTAGTAGGTGGGTGGTGCTAGTGTAAGTAGCAGATGGGTGGTACTGGTGCCAGTAGTAGGTGGGTGGTGCTGGTGTCAGTAGCAGGTGGGTGGTGCTAGTGTCAGTAGCAGGTAGGTGGTGCTAGTGATTGTAGCAGGTGGGTGGCGCTGGTGTCAGTAGTAGGTGGGTGGTGCTGGTGTCAGTAGCAGGTGGGTGGTGCTAGTGTCAGTAGCAGGTGGGTGGTGCTAGTGTCAGTAGCAGGTGGGTGGCGCTGGTGTCAGTAGCAGGTGGGTGGTGCTGGTGTCAGTAGCAGGTGGGTGGTGCTAGTGTCAGTAGCAGGTGGGTGGTGCTGGTGTCAGTAGTAGGTTGGTGGTACTAGTGTCAGTAGTTGGTGGGTGGTGCTAGTGTTTGTAGCAGGTGGGTGGTGCTAGTGTTAGTAGCAGGTGGGTGGTGCTGGTGTCAGTAGTAGGTGGGTGGTGCTGGTGACAGTAGCTGGTGGGTGGTGCTAGTGTTAGTAGCAGGTGGGTGGTGCTAGTGTCTGTAGCAGGTTGGTGGTGCTAGTGTCAGTAGCAGGTGGGTGGTGCTAGTGTCTGTAGCATGTGGGTGGTGCTGGTGTCAGTAGCAGGTGGGTGGTGCTAGTGTCTGTAGCATGTGGGTGGTGCTGGTGTCAGTAGCAGGTGGGTGGTGCTGGTGACAGTAGCAGGTGGGTGGTGCTGGTGTCAGTAGCAGGTGGGTGGTGCTAGTGTCAGTAGCAGGTGGGTGGTGCTAGTGTCAGTAGCAGGTGGGTGGTGCTGGTGTCAGTAGCAGGTGGATGGTGCTAGTGATTGTAGCAGGTGGGTGGTGCTAGTGTCAGTAGTAGGTGGGTGGTGCTAGTGTCAGTAGCAGGTAGGTGGTGCTGGTGTCAGTAGCAGGTGGGTGGCGCTAGTGTCAGTAGCAGGTGGGTGGTGCTGGTGTCAGTAGCAGGTAGGTGGTGCTAGTGATTGTAGCAGGTGGGTGGTGCCAGTGTCAGTAGCAGGTTGGTGGTGCTAGTGATTGTAGCAGGTGGGTGGTGTTAGTGTCAGTAGCAGGTGGGTGGTGCTAGTGTCAGTAGCAGGTTGGTGGTACTAGTGTCAGTAGCAGGTAGGTGGTGCTGGTGTCAGTAGCAGGTGGGTGGCGCTAGTGTCAGTAGCAGGTGGGTGGTGCTGGTGTCAGTAGCAGGTAGGTGGTGCTAGTGATTGTAGCAGGTGGGTGGTGCCAGTGTCAGTAGCAGGTTGGTGGTGCTAGTGATTGTAGCAGGTGGGTGGTGTTAGTGTCAGTAGCAGGTGGGTGGTGCTAGTGTCAGTAGCAGGTTGGTGGTACTAGTGTCAGTAGCAGGTGGGTGGTGCTAGTGTCAGTAGTAGGTGGGTGGTGCTAGTGTTAGTAGCAGGTAGGTAGGGCTAGTGCCAGTAGTGGGTGGATGATAACACTAGCTTGTTGTTGGTGCTAGTGACAACTTTTTATTTTGTTACATCAAATTAATATATTATATATCAATGCATATTTACCATGTTTACATTTTATATTTTCATACATGCATCTTTGAATACAGTGTGCACATTTAAATGTTTATTGATGTACAATACTGAACTAAATATGACTGCTTTCAGAGGCCAACAGTTGCCATGGATTCAAGCAGAGAAAATCACATTCGTGACCTCCTTGACAAAATCAACTCTTCAGAGCCACGTGTAGACATGTTCGACAACCAACACACAGGGCCAGCTTCACAATCCAACTCGCTCGACAACAAAGCCTGGGCATCCAGCTCTCCTCCAGACATGTTCGACAACCCGTACGGCGAGGCCAGCAGCCGGCCGCAGACTGCAGGGAAAGGAGCAAGTGCATTCCCCAAAACTAGAGACTTGAGAGACGACAAGGAGGAAGAAGACACAGAAGAGGAAGTGCCGTCCATGTCGGCCATTATAGAATATTCAAAGGCAGAGGATGAATACCCACTGGCAGAGAGCTCTGTGGATTTTGAAGGTTCGTCTTCGATTTTGGTACTAGGATCGAAAAATTCATTTGGCACATCGCTATACTTTGGGCCATGCATCAGTGAGAGACTGATGGAGTGAGTTGGGTTTAACGCCGCTTTTAACAGTATTCCAGTTATATCACAGCGTGTCAGCTTAATGTGGGAGGAAAAGCAGAAGTGATGCAGGTGTCAGACGTTTACCACTTTTGTGAAACCCACGATCACGGGTATGGTGCTGACAAACCTAGAAACAAAATGAGGGGGAACACACGCTCATGCCCATACATGTATCATGAGACTAAGTATTGATACTTATTAAGCCTCAAAGTGAGATTGACCAATCAGAGAGCAAAACTACTGACCCCACCTGAGCCCATATACCGTCAGTAATTTTTTTTTATTTTTGCATGTAAATGTAATAAATGGTGTGCAGCAGATTTACTCAATGCGTGCATCCCGGGTAGCCTAGTGGTTAAAGCGTTCGCTCGCCACGCCAAAGACCCAGGTTTGATTCCCGACATGGGTACAATATGTGAAGCTGGAATATTGCTAAAAGCAGCGTAAAACCATACTCTCACTCACTCACTCACTCACTCACTCACTCACTCACTCACTCACTCTTATAAATGAATATGTGAAAAATAACTTCACAGACCTCTTATTTAACCATTAACACTCAAAATACTGTGGAGAACAATACGAAATCAGTGATATTAATCAGTTCAATAATGCAATACAAGCCCCACCTATTCTTTTCGCAGCCAACCAGGAAAGTAGTCTGCTAGTGGGCGTGGCCTATTTGCTTGGTTAGCTAACCAAATGCCTTGGAAACACTTGCAATCTATTCATTGGTCATTGTTCTAGGTGCCAAGTATGCTGATGAGCCGTGGGATCAGCTAGGTCATCTGAGTGACAGTCTCCTGAAGGAGTACAACGAGAAACAGCTGCAGCCCAACTTCCGGAAGATGATGACATTCAGGGAGAAGCTGCCATCATTTGAAATGAGGGAGGTGAGAGCTTTCTAACTAACCTCTGTACAGACAGTGCTAATGAGAGCTCTAAGCTAAACTCTAGGGCGGTAACGATTCACTGATACCTACAATATCATCGATACATAGGTGCACACGATACTTGAATCGGTGATGTGAGATCGCGCTAAACAATAAATAGAGACCTCCGTGGTCTAGTTGAAGTGCGTTCGCCCGGAGAGCGGAAGGTCCGGGGTTCGATCCCGGCCACGTCCTACCAAAAGACGTTAAAAGATGGTACTTGTTGTTACCCTGTCTGCTGCTCGGCATTAAGGGGCTTAAACAAGGACTGGTCGGCTCGGCGTCAGTATACTGTGTCTGAGTGGGTTATTCATGTTAAACTGCAGCATGGTATCGGAGTTAGCACTATAAATCGTCATCAGTCCAGACTAGTACAAGCAGCCACACAAACACACACACACGCACACACAAACACACACACGTACATGCATGTCACTATATAAGTGCAATAAACTTGGACACGACGTTAAAGCCAATTCCACCTCACCTGCAAATAGAACAGGAACTCAAAGAGTTACCTGCCATAGTGGCAGAAGTAGCATTGCGTATGGCAGAACACAAAACATGGTGGCTGAGGCACGCCAACTAACTGTCACATTTAATAACCATCCCTTCATATAAGACTACTCTTTGGTGTTGTTTTTATTGTTCAAGTTTTTGAGATAACAATAAATAAATGTATGAAGAAAACGTGTGTTTATGTGTAAATGTCAAAAACATGTGATTGCATTTCAGAAACTGATGGATGACATAAACAACAACCAGGTTGTTGTGATCAGCGGTGAAACTGGCTGTGGTAAAACAACACAGGTAGGTTGTTTGTTGTTGTCACCAGCTATGATGCAACTACTGAAATAAAATCTATGGGGATTTTTCAGGTTTTCAGTAGGTCCTCAGCAACTTATGCTGGTCGTAGAGGCGACTAAAATGTAGAAGAAACTAACATTTTAGTCCACTTGTCCTTATAATGATTATATACAGCAAAACCCTTAACAATGACAAGTTTCTACTTGTCCTTATGATACCTTAACTATTGGGCAGTTTGGCAAGGACTACAGGACTAGTGCCGATTTCTACTGCTGCTAAACAGATGGTCAGACTCGGGGACTGAACTTGTGTGTCGTCCCTCCGATGATGTGGGACATGTTCATACTATCAATCACTGGTTTGTCTGCTCCAGATTTGCCTGTTACAGGGCATTGTCATATAGCTAGAATATTGAGTCTGGCGAAAGAACACAGACAAAGAACTACATTCACTATATTCCACCTTTTCATACATTTCTTGTTGGCAGCCGTGAAGATCCGGGGTAGAATATGTCTTCAGCAACCCATGCTTGTTGTAAGAGGTGACTATGCTTGTCGTAAGAGGTGATTGGGTTGTCAGGCTCGCTGACTTGGTTGATGCATGTCATCGTATCCCAATTGTATAGATCTCATGATGTCAGTCACTGGATTGTCTTGTCCAGACTATTATTTACATACAGCTGGAATATTGCTGAGTGCGGTGTCAACATAAAACAAACAAAAATCATGTTGGTTGGTTGGTTTGTTGGTTGTTGATTAATAGCATGAGCATCGATCCACACAGTTGGGGATCAATGACATGCATCAACCAAGTCAGCAAGTCTGACCACCCGATCCCGTTACTCACCTCTTACGTCAAGCATTGTCGCCTTTTACAGCAAGCATGCGTTGCTGAAGACCTATTCTACGCCGGATCTTCACGGGTCCAAAAATCATGTAGGCAGGGGTGTCCAAAAAGGGAATTAGGTGGACTCTTGCCCAGTCACTGGTTTGAGTGAGTGTTGTCTGTTGTAATATGACTGTAATAACGTTAAATGTGTATCAAACATCTATGAAGACATTGAACATCAGAATGTGTTTGTGACTTTTACAGCTGTGTGTTGTCTGTTGTAATATGACTGTAATAACGTTAAATGTGTATCATACATCTATGAAGACATTGAACATCAGAATGTGTTTGTGACTTGTACAGCTGTGTGTTGTGTGTTGTAATATGACTGTAATAACGTTAAATGTGTATCATACCTGTATGAAGACATTGAACATCAGAATGTGTTTGTGACTTGTACAGCTGTGTGTTGTGTGTTGTAATATGACTGTAATAACGTTAAATGTGTATCATACCTGTATGAAGACATTGAACATCAGAATGTGTTTGTGACTTGTACAGCTGTGTGTTGTCTGTTGTAATATGACTGTAATAACGTTAAATGTGTATCAAACATCTATGAAGACATTGAACATCAGAATGTGTTTGTGACTTGTACAGCTGTGTGTTGTCTGTTGTAATATGACTGTAATAACGTTAAATGTGTATCAAACATCTATGAAGACATTGAACATCAGAATGTGTTTGTGTCTTGTACAGCTGTGTGTTGTCTGTTGTAATATGACTGTAATAACGCTAAATGTGTATGAAACATCTATGAAGACATTGAACATCAGAATGTGTTTGTGACTTGTACAGCTGTGTGTTGTCTGTTGTAATATGACTGTAATAACGTTAAATGTGTATCATACCTGTATGAAGACATTGAACATCAGAATGTGTTTGTGACTTGTACAGCTGTGTGTTGTATATCGTAATATGACTGTAATAACGTTAAATGTGTATCAAACCTGTATTAAGACATTGAACATCAGAATGTGTTTGTGACTTGTACAGCTGTGTGTTGTCTGTTGTAATATGACTGTAATAACGTTAAATGTGTATCAAACATCTATGAAGACATTGAACATCAGAATGTGTTTGTGACTTGTACAGCTGTGTGTTGTCTGTTGTAATATGACTGTAATAACGTTAAATGTGTATCAAACATCTATGAAGTCATTGAACATCAGAATGTGTTTGTGACTTGTACAGCTGTGTGTTGTATATCGTAATATGACTGTAATAATGTTAAATGTGTATCAAACCTGTATGAAGACATTGAACATCAGAATGTGTTTGTGACTTGTACAGCTGTGTGTTGTCTGTTGTAATATGACTGTAATAACGTTAAATGTGTATCAAACATCTATGAAGACATTGAACATCAGAATGTGTTTGTGACTTGTACAGCTGTGTGTTGTCTGTTGTAATATGACTGTAATAACGTTAAATGTGTATCAAACATCTATGAAGACATTGAACATCAGAATGTGTTTGTGACTTGTACAGCTGTGTGTTGTCTGTTGTAATATGACTGTAATAACGTTAAATGTGTATCAAACATCTATGAAGACATTGAACATCAGAATGTGTTTGTGTCTTGTACAGCTGTGTGTTGTCTGTTGTAATATGACTGTAATAACGTTAAATGTGTATGAAACATCTATGAAGACATTGAACATCAGAATGTGTTTGTGACTTGTACAGCTGTGTGTTGTCTGTTGTAATATGACTGTAATAACGTTAAATGTGTATCATACCTGTATGAAGACATTGAACATCAGAATGTGTTTGTGACTTGTACAGCTGTGTGTTGTCTGTTGTAATATGACTGTAATAACGTTAAATGTGTATCAAACATCTATGAAGACATTGAACATCAGAATGTGTTTGTGACTTGTACAGCTGTGTGTTGTCTGTTGTAATATGACTGTAATAACGTTAAATGTGTATCAAACATCTATGAAGACATTGAACATCAGAATGTGTTTGTGACTTGTACAGCTGTGTGTTGTCTGTTGTAATATGACTGTAATAACGTTACATGTGTATCAAACATCTATGAAGACATTGAACATCAGAATGTGTTTGTGACTTGTACAGCTGTGTGTTGTCTGTTGTAATATGACTGTAATAACGTTAAATGTGTATCAAACATCTATGAAGACATTGAACATCAGAATGTGTTTGTGACTTGTACAGCTGTGTGTTGTCTGTTGTAATATGACTGTAATAACGTTAAATGTGTATCAAACATCTATGAAGACATTGAACATCAGAATGTGTTTGTGACTTGTACAGCTGTGTGTTGTCTGTTGTAATATGACTGTAATAACGTTAAATGTGTATCAAACATCTATGAAGACATTGAACATCAGAATGTGTTTGTGACTTGTACAGCTGTTTGTTGTCTGTTGTAATATGACTGTAATAACGTTAAATGTGTATCAAACATCTATGAAGACATTGAACATCAGAATGTGTTTGTGACTTGTACAACTGTGTGTTGTCTGTTGTAATATGACTGTAATAACGTTAAATGTGTATCAAACATCTATGAAGACATTGAACATCAGAATGTGTTTGTGACTTGTACAGCTGTGTGTTGTCTGTTGTAATATGACTGTAATAACGTTAAATGTGTATCAAACATCTATGAAGACATTGAACATCAGAATGTGTTTGTGACTTGTACAGCTGTGTGTTGTCTGTTGTAATATGACTGTAATAACGTTAAATGTGTATCAAACATCTATGAAGACATTGAACATCAGAATGTGTTTGTGACTTGTACAGCTGTGTGTTGTCTGTTGTAATATGACTGTAATAACGTTAAATGTGTATCAAACATCTATGAAGACATTGAACATCAGAATGTGTTTGTGACTTGTACAGCTTTGTGTTGTCTGTTGTAATATGACTGCAATAATGCTAAATGTATATCAAACATCTATGAAGACATTGAACATCAGAATGTGTTTGTGACTTGTACAGCTGTGTGTTGTGTGTTGTAATATGACTGTAATAACGTTAAATGTGTATCAAACATCTATGAAGACATTGAACATCAGAATGTGTTTGTGACTTGTACAGCTGTGTGTTGTCTGTTGTAATATGACTGTAATAACGTTAAATGTGTATCAAACATCTATGAAGACATTGAACATCAGAATGTGTTTGTGACTTGTACAGCTGTGTGTTGTCTGTTGTAATATGACTGCAATAATGCTAAATGTATATCAAACATCTATGAAGACATTGAACATCAGAATGTGTTTGTGACTTGTACAGCTGTGTGTTGTCTGTTGTAATATGACTGCAATAATGCTAAATGTATATCAAACATCTATGAAGACATTGAACATCAGAATGTGTTTGTGACTTGTACAGCTGTGTGTTGTCTGTTGTAATATGACTGTAATAACGTTAAATGTGTATCAAACATCTATGAAGACATTGAACATCAGAATGTGTTTGTGACTTGTACAGCTGTGTGTTGTCTGTTGTAATATGACTGCAATAACCTTAAATGTGTATCAAACATCTATGAAGACATTGAACATCAGAATGTGTTTGTGACTTGTACAGCTGTGTGTTGTCTGTTGTAATATGACTGCAATAACCTTAAATGTGTATCAAACATCTATGAAGACATTGAACATCAGAATGTGTTTGTGACTTGTACAGCTGTGTGTTGTCTGTTGTAATATGACTGTAATAACGTTAAATGTGTATCAAACATCTATGAAGACATTGAACATCAGAATGTGTTTGTGACTTGTACAGCTGTGTGTTGTCTGTTGTAATATGACTGTAATAACGTTAAATGTGTATCATACCTGTTTGAAGACATTGAACATCAGAATGTGTTTGTGACTTGTACAGCTGTGTGTTGTCTGTTGTAATATGACTGTAATAACGTTAAATGTGTATCAAACATCTATGAAGACATTGAACATCAGAATGTGTTTGTGACTTGTACAGCTGTGTGTTGTCTGTTGTAATATGACTGTAATAACGTTCAATGTATATCATACCTGTATGAAGACATTGAACATCAGAATGTGTTTGTGACTTGTACAGCTGTGTGTTGTCTGTTGTAATATGACTGTAATAACGTTAAATGTGTATCA